GCACGCTTCTGTGCCGGGAAAATGGAGAGGAGAAGAAAAACATTGGGACGGGATAGGTTTTGATAGCCGTTGAGGGTTGCGAGGAAGGCAGCCTCCTCGAGAGCACGGGTGCGTGCGAGAAGCCATCATTGGGAATATTTTAATCTGTTGCTGGTTTATGTAACAGTCACGTGACCATGACAGTGACGTGACATCACAGCTTGCCCTACTCTTGTTTTCACTCAATCGTTCACGAATCTCCCTATATGCACAAAGGCAGTATAGTGAAGACGAACGGAGACTGGACCACAGAGCTATAACCAGGTCTTGTGGTGGTTCAGCTTTTACGACTTCTGGAGAAGATAAAGGGAGTGAAACAGTGGCCATGCCTCTTTGTGGATGTGCACGTGTGCGTTTTTGAGTCGTGTGAGGAACAGAGGAGCAATTCTGTGTTTGGAGGGCCGCTGATCGACATCAATGAGAGAAACGGTGCTCCCAGTTCACGGCCGAGACGAAATGGCCATGAAGCTTTTGTTCTGGGAATTAGAGCAGCATTTGAAAAGGTAAAGTGTGTGTTTACACTACCATATATATTAGATGTGAGACAGCATTTTCTATTCATATGTTTTCTGATTCTTTCTTGGGAGATATTTTAAACCAAGATGCAAATGCATGACGTCATGAATGAAAAGTGTGGCATGTATTTGTTGGAGAGTCTCAGGGGGTCTTTGTTCCTCTGAGCATCATATGTGTGTCAGATTATTCTGGTAATTTTAATGAGGAAATCAAATTCAGTCTGTTAATATATGTGCAATGAAGTTCAATCGAGAGAATCAAACTAAGTATATTTTGGGTTACAGAAGGAATGTTTAGTGCAAACTAATATTTGGTGGATTGAAATGCTTTTAGATTGTCAAATGTCTCCAATATTTACGTATTTCCTGTCAGGTGTCATTTGAAATTCATTTACATTTACACATGGCATAGGCTTTTATCCAAAGAAACTTCCATTGCATTCAAAATTGTTTTTTGTTAATGTATTCGCTGGGTATTGAACCCATGACTTGGGCGTTTCTAGAGCAATGATCTTCCGTTCAAGCTACAATTAAACTTTAAGTGGAAAGGGTAGATGGATGATTTGTTCTGTTGACCTTTGAACCAGGTTTCTGGACAGAAGCTTCTTTATCAATGACAAGATGTTCTTGTTCATTATGTTGAGTACACGCGTTCCAGGGAACCTTCTACTGGTCCAATCAGGTGTTCATATAAATTGTCATAGCTTCAGGTACTAAGCCGGAGTAAATGGTCTGTTTTTTAATTGGGACTATTTCAATAGTGAGATGGCGAACTGTGATCGCCAAACAAAGATGTCAATAAGTTGGTAGGTGTCCTTTAGTTGAGCACACTGAATGGTGATGGTGTGAGGTCATGTCATGGACAGCAGAGGTATATTTGGACTTCATAATTGCTTAAATCCACTTCCAGTCAAAGAGACTGGAACAGCTAACAGCGTCCTGAGCAGCTTAGCTTGGGGCTTCATTTGGTGTGCACTTAATTAGGATAAGTGATCTATTTTTACTGGATGGAAGCGTACACTTGGTTTAAACATTACAGCAGTGCTAAATCCCACTGCTGTTTTCAAAGGTTTGTAATTAGTGGGCAGGACTTATGCAATGTTTCAGAGGAACTGAGGATGTCTGTTGTCATTTGGCTGGAAATGATCCTGTGAGCGCAATGAAGCATTCCTCTGAGCTTTACCGGTTGGGTGTTTCACCACCTTTATTATTAATCCATGTGTGGATGATGGTACACACCTTTACAACAGAAATTAACCAACCTAACCACAATCATTACTCAAGATGACAGCGTGTTGAAACTGCAAAGCTGATGTAACTTTGGATTGTGAAATACCCACATCTTATATGCAAAGTAAGGCGCATTATTAATATTATTATTATTACACATCTTTGTTGCCAGATATTTTAATTAAAAAGCTGATGTAACTGTGGATTGTGAAATATCCACATCTTATATGCAAAGTAAGGCGCATTATTAATATTATTATTATTACACATTTTTGTTGCCAGATATTTTAATTAAAAAAAAAAACTAAAAAAAAAATGTTTAACTTATGTTAACCTTTCTCCTTATCTAAAAAAAGTAAGGCGCATTATTAATATTATTATTATTGCACATCTTTGTTGCCAGATATTTTAATTTAAAAAAAACTAAACACAAAAATGTATGTCCTTGGTTCTGTCCATCAGCTCTGCCTCCATTTAATTTACAGCCGAAGGCGAGCTTGCATTCGATTGTAAGAAAGAGGCGCGCTTAAGCGGACTAAGTGATTGGAGAAGTCCAGCATGCGTCACTGGAGAGAAGTGTCATTTCACTGAAAGATTGACTAATGACATTGTGATTTAAGAATTACAGGTCAAAACATGCATGAATTGTTCACAATAAAATTAATAATGTGCATTTAGAAAATATAATTTTCATTTCATGCTTTGAAAGCTGTATAGCTAAGTCCCACACAGGTAAAAAGTTTGAGATATATCATCGTTTCATCACCATAGTGTGAGATGTATAACTGTCCTGTTGAATTGGTGTTTTTGGGTTTAGTTTGCTCTTCTCTCTTCTGCAACTGATCTTGGCATCACACTGAGCCTTGAGTTGCAAACCAAGCACATGTGCAGGCGCAGATAATATGAAGCACGCTGATGTGTAGTTAAACACGTTAATTAAAGCTCACATGAGATTAGTTAGCATAGGGGACTGAGTTTTATCTGAACATGCTGTAGGCTTGATGCTTTCTGCTTTAAGACCTCAGCATCCATGCCATACCAGATAGATGAACAGTGAACACACAGGAACACATGTGTACAAATAGCCTAATAGTTTGAATATTTGAAAATGTATGGAAAAATGTGGTGAAGTATCTGTTAAATTGATAGTTCTCATAAAAATTCAGTCATTAATTTCTCTGTCACGGTTTAAGCACATTCAGGGTTTTCACCATGACAATAACTTTTCCTTTGTCTTTAACTGACATTAATTTAGTGATCAAATTTAGCACTCTTATGGAAATATCATCATATTTTGTAATTAAAATTGAAGTCAAGATGTTTGTCATAAATCCATCTCGGGAAAAAGTTATGGTTTAAAATCAAAAAATGACTTTGTACATGTCCACTGTAGTGGTGGACACACAAGGACTTAAAGCATGTTTGTCAGACATTTTGGGACATGAGTGAATAGGAAAATAAAATATTCCTATGAAATATTAGATGTAATAAAATGAGAAGTGTGATAATTGGCAACATTTTTATAATATTTTGACATGAGAATATTTTATATGCAAATAAGATGCATTTTATAGATGCATTGTATTGAAGGGGACTTCCCAATTTTATCCACATATTGCATTAAGTAAAATGATAATTAATTCCATTATGTCTTTCATAACATGTTTGAGAATCATCTTTAAACATAATTTGTTTAAAAAAAAAAATCCTGAAACCTAAAAAATGATCGGTGGAAAAAAATCCTTTTGTGTTTGCCCACTCTAAACAATGTAGCTGAAATAGTCAATTCCAAAACTTTTTTTTCTGGTTCTCAGGAAGATATGACGTTTTATCGGTAAAATGTTTCTTATTGGAAGTCCCTGGGGCAGTTAAAGGTCCTGATGGGGGCTCCAGTGGTCTTTGTAAAGGTGGAAACCCCTGCTTTAGGGATTCAGTCCACTGCAGTTCCGCTGGTTGCCGATAAGTGGCGGCATGTTAACACGGTGCTCAAAGCATAGGCAATTGCCCTTCAAATATTGTTTTCCCCATGGATTCAAATGTATAAAAACTGGAAAATATTTTTTCAGAAATTAGTATTTTACAAAAAAAAAAAAATGGATCGTGCAAATGATTTAACGTGTATAAACATTATTTCTGTCTGCATTATGTGGTAAAATAGATGCTGAGTAATAGAAATGGGCTGTTAGGAGCTGTTGGTGCCTTGAGACTTCTGATGGAAATAACATCAACTCGCTTCAACCGGATTGTCGAACAAGGCAAGTCGCGTATGAATAAATTATCCAGAGCGAGTCGGAAGAGCGTCAAATGGGGCGTTGCTGCATATATTAGTCAAATCCCCCTGCTCTCCGCCAATGGCGTGCTCAGCTGCGCTGGTGTAAAATATATTATGCAAATAGCCCAGGCTGCAGATATTCACCAGCGCAGAGATGAGCTGACCTTGGAGTTTCTTTGTGCTGCGGCACTGGATGTACGGTCTCTTGATAAAGCGAGCTTTTCTGCTGGGGAGTCACGGCACAATATCCCTGCAAACACACACAAAGGATGTAATGCTCGAAAGGCTGTAGGAAGGACACGCGCTCGCTTCCCTGCCCGGTTTCATATGGACGCAATAGCATGAATTCTCCATGCTATTCCGTGGCGATGGATCTTGGTGTTTGTCAGCTTAGAAATTTCTCAATATCTTTTCTCTCGTCGTTGTTGGGGACAGAGACTTCGTCCGTCAAGCTCGACAATAGGTAAAATGTCAGATTTGTTATGCTCGTGACAAAGGCTAAAGCTCGTGTCATGTATTGTGTGGTGAAATTTAAAATAAACGCGATGCTGTTTTGGAGAATTCGTCTCATTTAACGTTAAATCACAGCTGAGCGTTGTGATGGCTGGTTTTGCTTCAGTTGGGTAAAATCCTAAGCTGTAACGTTAAGCAGCTTGCCCTGCTGCTTCAGTTCACTGGCACTCACAGTCTCTGAAAGATGGTGCTGAATGAGTATATAAGTGTATCTTTCTGTAAGTTAGAAGCGACAGAATACAGCGGCGCTTGACGTGTTCTAGAGGGTTCTACAGAAAACATTGTAGCATGTGGAATATAACGTTAACATTATCTTGAACGATGATTTTCGACGTTTTATTTGTTTAGGGTGATGTTGTTATACTGTTGCCATAGTTTCTCGTGTAATTAAGTGACGTTAGTGAAGTAACGTTTCTCCTTTTCCCCCACAGCTCATCGGGTGCCAGTGTTGTGGCCATAGACAACAAAATTGAACAAGCGATGGTAAGTCATTTTGCTTTTCTCATCATTAATAGTGCATTTTAAACATATAACGTTATTTAGTTTACATGCTGTAAGCAGTCTATCGAGTTGCATCAGTGCAAGGTGAATGAATTATGTAATCATCATCAAATGATTGTTGTTCTGTCATTATGACAGCGTCGATTCAGTGACGTTTTATTGTTTTGAACATGGGAAGCTTTCGCTCTACTAGACTAGTCCAGGTTTAGTTTGTATTGAAAAGCTGATAAGAAAACGAGAGTTTGGTGTTTGTTTGCCTGCGTGCTCACGCGATCTGTGCCCCTTGTTACTGTTGCTAGGCAAACCCCAAAGCTTTTACGCCTAGTTAAAAATATCTCGGCTTCTGATTGGCCTGACGCGGTGTGGGACGGCCATTTTGTCGGTTTAGTGACGCCGAGCAGCGCCATAAAGGGAGGGGGAGGAACTGTGGGTGCCGAGTAGAAGCAGGTTAAAGGGATAGTTCACCCGAAAATGAAAATTTTGTCATTTACTCGCTCTCATGTTGTTCCAAACCTGTATGAATTTCTTTCTTCAGCTGAACATAAAAGAAGATATTTTGAAGTATGATGGTAACAAGACGGTTGAGGGTAGCCATTGACTTCCATAGTTGGGGAAAAAAAACTATGTAAAACTGACTGGTCAAAAATATCATCTCTTGTGTTCAACCAAAGAAAGAAAACCTCCCTAAAACCGTGAACACGGCACCTCAGAGGAGATAGTGCATGAAATAAATTGAAGATGGTTTTAGTTTTGTTTCAGGTTTAAATAAACAAAAAGAAAGATATAAAAATAACGCTTTGCTGTCCACTTTCAGGATCTTGTGAAGAGTCACTTGATGTATGCTGTCCGTGAGGAAGTGGAAGTGTTGAAAGAACAGATTAAAGAACTGATTGAGAGAAATTCTCAACTGGAACAAGAAAACAACCTGCTGAAGAACCTGGCCAGCCCGGAGCAGCTCGCACAGTTCCAGGCTCAAGTCCAGACCGGCTCGCCCCCGTCGTCCTCCTCCACGCAAGGAGCGCAGCAGCCGCCCGCCCCGTCGGCCCAGCTGGCAGCACAAAACTCTGGACCTTCGGCGTAGCGCAGGATGAAAGTTCCCGTTGAGGGCGACGGAGTGTCTCGAACCGTAAAGGAAACGGACTGAAGCTTATGAACAAACATGCCTCATTCACATGTTAGACTTTTGAAATTTGCACACCTTTCAAAACTTGACGCATGTCGATCCGAGGTGATTTATACACCGGTGACAATCCAGTTGGCTGAGGTTGGGACGTTTGCAAAATCCACAGAATGTGATTGTCAGATGGAAGAAAAGCAATCGGAGAGGACACGATATAAAGAATCACTGTGCCTGTGTCTAAAGTCATGTTGGTTTTCAGTCATGTCTCCCTTACCTTTGTAGTGTAAATGCTGACAGCGGTCTTTTTAGACTGCGAGCTTCTAGTAAAGCAAGCACTTTTCTGGTGACAAATGTGATGAAACTTTGAAGATCTGCCAATCTGTGCCCCAGCTGGCATGGGGAAGGCAGACGCATCGATGACGTTCATAGTTGCAATGAGGTAATCATGATACTCTTTTGAATGAAGAAAACGAGGAGGCATGATGCTTAAAATCTGCATTCGTTCTCTGCGCAGTGAGAACGACGGATGAGACGCAAGCTGAATTTGGAGGTGGATGGGCTGTATATTATTGTATGATTAGTGTAAGTATTTTGTAAAATAGCGATATCATGTGAAGCGGTTAAAGAGACACTATATAGGTTGTACATATTTAAAGGGTAGCGAGGTAGTTGGAGGAGACCACATCCTTTTTTTATGCCGTTAAGCCGGATCACTCTTACGATATTTATCTGACAAATGGAGAAAAAAAAAACCTACTCATCTAACACCCGCTGTACACTACTTTGTTCACTTGAGATGATTTTGAAGTATTACAACCATGTGATTTCTGTTTTCAGTTTGGACAGTTAAGTATTCTGGATCAATCTATTAACTTGCAGTTACTCTTGACGATCATATAGCTGACATGGATTTGCATTGTGTACAACTTGTATGCTTATGTTTCTGTGCATGTTCTCAAACCAGGAGATAAGTTGTAAAATACTGTAATTGCACTTGCCAGTTGCACTTCACAACTCTCAATAAAGTCATGTTTGTGAGAAAAATCCTTGAGATGCTTTAGCATGTGTGGCATGCCAGGTGCATTCATTTAACCGGACTAGGGTTGATCATAGGACAAGGATTTGGTGAGGGTTTATATCATTACTGTAGTAGTAATTACGATTACTACTAGTACTGTAGTCACGTTAAAATCATTGTTTCTTGAAGACGTGATGAAACGGAAGTATAGACGGATTATTTCTTCTATGTTGTGAGCTACACCTGAGTGTAACGGATTATTGTAAAAAAAAAAAAGTGTAAATTTAATGTCGTTTTCACTGGAAGATAGAGTTCTATTTCGTTTTAAAAATTGCGAGAAGGTCTAAAAAATAGATTGTTCACAATAAGATCAATAACATGCTTTTAGAAAATGTTAAAGTTTAATCTTTGAACTGTATAATGAATAATGGCTATACACCAGATGGGAATTTAACAATTATCTTATATAAATAAGTCATTCTTTATGGTGCTTGAAAATTTTAAATGATTTGAATTGAATTTCTCTTCAGTTAATCAATGTTTTCTTAGGGACTAGATGGGGGGAAAAAGGGTCAAGGTGACACAAACTTCATGGGATAGCTCATCCAAAAAGGAACATTTTATCCTTTACTCGCCCTCAAGTTTATTTCTTCTGTTGAACATAAAGGAAGATATTTTGAAGAATGTTTGTAACCAGACAGTTGACTGTGACCATTGTACCTACTATAGAAGTCAATGGGTGTCATCAACTGTTTGACAACCAACATTATTCAAAATATCATCTTTTTGTGTTCAACAGAGTTTGGAACAACATGAGAGTGAGCAAATGATTTTGATGAACTATCCCTTACATAAAGATCCCTGATCCAGTGGGGTCGCCTGTGCCGTAGTGTGCGATCTGCTAATTTTACATGACAAATCATAATCTACTGTCTGTAACATTCATGACAGATTACATAATGACAAAGTTTTGAAATGTTAACGAGGCATTATCCAAAAGTGTTTGACGTTTATTTGAAAAAGGCTCACGCAAACACAGTTTAAATAGAGAAATAGATCATGGCAATCATCAATCACAAATAAATATGATGTCAACAACAAAAATGGTTCTGTAGAAAAGCATGTGTTCCCTTCATCCAGGAACACTGTAAACATGTGTGACAATGTCATGTAGTTCTGTACATTAGATCCAGCTCAGCACACGAGCCTCTGACCCACGCCGAGGACGACTTCAACCTTCCAGTCTTCCTTCAGTTTGTATCCGATCACACGAACAATCTCATTCAGATGTAGGGCAGGGTATGTGAACAACACTGGGACTCACATTCCCATTCGGATACTTTGAATTATCTGAAAAATGGCTGAGAACAAGAAAGAAAAATGATAGAATCAGC